CATCAGTGAGAATTTCTTTTTTTGACTGAACCAAACAAATAGAAGTAGACAATCTTGCAAGTCCTTTGAGTTTGGATTATGAAGGGCACAGCTTACAGGTAACCTTAAATCATATTTTGTGATATTTTTGATGAAACTGCATGGTAAAACTGCCTCCAGTTTGGGGGAGTTAAATATTGGGCCCTTTTCTTCTTACAATAAATGGCTTACACTTGTAACATACAAGATCCAAGGCTTTCCACATATTGACTAAAATTACTGGGGCTGTTAAAATGTTCCTTGTTGCTATGTGGGCTGGTTTGCAGATTTATCTTTTTAATGGTTTTGTCTTTGTGTGAAGACAGAAATATCTGAACTGCTTGAGAAGAGCTGCTTCTGGAAGCTGGTGAGGCCACTTATTTTCCTCTCATAATTGATTGGGCTATTCAATTTTTTGTTCAATGAAAGATAGGCACGCTCTTCAGGAGCACCAGGCAGATGCCAGGCTTTATCATTCTTCAATACAATAACTGCAGTCATTTAGCAACGTGGAGGGAATCTTGTGAGGCTCTGTTTGGGCTGGTCAAAGGGTTTTCTGTTGGTTCCTGGGAGAATACTAGCAGAATAAGCTGACACAAGTGATGCACCACGTGTGCATGTGGTTTCTTTGGTTTAGTTAGCACCTTTTATTTTTTTAAGTTTTCAGCTTCTTGGGCTGGGTTAGCACCTTTTATTTTTTTAAGTTTTCAGCTTCTTGGGCAAGTCTTTCCTTGTAATTTTTAAGAAATTATTGAAGATTAAATATGGCAATGTGCTGTTTTTATTGTAATTGAGAGGCAGAGAGAATACTAGCTTAACTATATCTACTGACAAGACATTTAAAGATTTAATAGCAGTTGTAAATGATTACTTTGTATTTAGTTTGCTCATTTTCAGTTTATTAAATGCACAGTTGTAAGTCTCCAGAGTGCTTGAAATTTAACCCAAAGATATCTTTTGAACATTTATCTACAAAGAGATTTCCTTTCCCGTGCTTGGTGTAACATGGACTTCAACTGTTGTTAAGGCAAATGTACAAGGAAAGCTGGGTATTTGCTTGTGCTGTACCTGTTGACAAATAAATCAGATTTTGTGAACTCACAGGTAAAATTGTGATTCAGGATGGAGGACTCTTCACCT